TTAATTGATTAATTGAGCTACTATTAGGATACCCCCATCAGGTACGGCCAACTTAGCTTGCCCACCCCAAATTACCCATAGTCCTCCAGCACAGACCATTGTGCTTCCTTTCTACTTTGTTCTCACCCTTGCCTTCTCCACCCTCTCCCCCAAATGCCTTTGTTCCACAGTAAGCTCTCAAGGGTTGATTTTTTTAATGTTATCTTTATCTGACACTTACTTTGGTTTCTCTGTATTTCTTATTATGTTACTAAGCTGTATGAGTTCTTATGTATTTTGGATATTAACTTCCTACTCGATATGTGGTTTGCAATTTTTCCCCTTTCTGTATTCTGTATTTTTTCATTTCTTATTGTGTGTGTGTGTGTGTTGCAAAAGCTTTTTAATTTGATGTAATCTCACTGGATATTTTTTGCTTTTTTTTTTTTTTGATGCCTTTAGTGTCATATCCTAAAAAATCATCACCCATGTTGAGGAGGTTCTCCATTATGTTTTCTTCGAGGAGTTTTACCATATCAGGTCTGATTCATTTCCATTTCATTTTTTATGCATGAGATAAGTTTCATGTGTCTGTGTCTCTCTGGTTTTTCCAGCACTATTTATGAAAGAATTCTTTCTTCTTCGGGTATTCTTGGAAATCTTGTTGAATATTAATTTACAGTATATGTTGGACTTCAATTTTTCATTTTATTCTCTTCCATTGGCTTACATGTCTATTTGTGTGTGTGTGTGCTGACAATACAATTATTGTGAGATCCATCCATGTGTTTTATGCAGCTCATTTCTTTTGATTGCTGAGTGTTCTGTTGCACAGATATGCCATAGTGGGTCTATTTATTCACTAGAAATTTGGGTAAATGTCAAGTTTTTGTAAGGAAAGTTGTAAATAACATCTCTGCACAAGTCTTTGTGTGGGCATGTATTTTGTTTTGGAAATTTTACAGTCTTTAGAAGAAAACCAGAGAAAAATCTTTGTAATCTTAAATATTTTAGGAATTTCATTGAGGTCTATGTTCCATTTTGAATTAATTTTTACATATAATACTAGGTTGGGATTGAAATTTATTTTCTACACAAGGATATCCAATTTTTCCAGCACCATTTGTTGAAAAGACAAGAACATTATGGTCTCATTTTCATCTTTTTTGAAAATCAATTGTGAACATAAAAATGGGTTGGTCACCTGCTTTTGTAGCTTGCCTGACTGTGGACT